AATGGAAAACTTGAAAAACTTTTTTCAAAGAAAGTATCCCAACGAAACAGAAGAAGAAATTAGGGTCAGGACTTTGGATCATATGAAGAAATTTATGAAGACAAGTTCATCCATGTGATCAATAGATTTCAACACCTTTGAAGGTTTAGCTGACGAAGCTCAAAATGATGACCCCACAGCTGAAGACTTTTGAGATGCTATGATTCAATCTATGGCCCAAAAGGCTAAAGAAAAATCCAAAGTTAAACAATGACAATGGACAAAATAATAAATTGTCCAGAAGTAATAAATGTCAAATACCAAGATAAGAGAGAATCTTGTCTTGAAACTATAATACGCTAAAGAAAAAGCCAAGGGACAAAACAATAACAAGAATGGTCCATAAGCAATAATGTTAAATGTCAAGATAAGAGGGAATCTTATCTGGAAACAATAAAATAAAGATTAGAGAGAATCTTATCAGTTTTTGCTTTAAGAAGTATTTTGTTGTTTGTGAATTATTATTGTGTCGATGGAACCCAATGTGTACTCGATATTAATAATTCATCTTTGTTTGTTGTAACCAGTTATCATATGTAGTTATTATCAGCTTAAATAGTAAACTTTTGTTTCCTTATATAAAGGAATTTTTATTTCCTTTGTAAACACGCAATTTTTGAATATAACAAAGTTTATATATATATATATATATATATATATATATATATATATATATATATATATATATATATATATATATATATATATATATATATATATATATATATATATATATATATATATATATATATATATATATATATATATATATATATATATATATATATATATATATATATATATATATATATATATATATATATATATACTCTACTTTCTTTTTACCAAAAATACTTAAAATTTACCAATAATTCTGATCCTAATTTTGCTGCCAAAATCAATTTCAAAACCAAAAAACACAAACAACGAGCCAAACAAAAGAATTAACAAGAGGGAAGATTTACTTCAAATTCTGAATTTTTTATCAACATACCCTCTTTTTAGCATTTAAATCCCAATATACCCTCTCACACTTTCATATTTCCCAATATACTCTCTTTTCAAACAAAACACGTTTTTGCCACAACTGATCCGCCAATGCAATGGGCGGAAGAGTGTATTTTCCTAGGGCACCGCACATGCATTGGGCGGATGCTTATAAAAAAAGAGAGGCTCCGCCCATTAGATGGGCGGATGTGTCCAAAACGTTTTTTTTTTTTTAATTCTGTAAATTAAATTCATATGACATTATAATTAAATAATATACATTTAAATTAAATTCATATAATTAAATAATATACATTATAAATTAAATTAATATAATTAAATAATATACATTATAAATTTAATTCATATAATTAAATAATATACATCATAAATTTAATTCATATAATTAAATAATATACATCATAAATTAAATTCATATAATTAAATAATATACATTTTAAATAAAATTCATATAATTAAATAATATACATTATAAATTAAATTCATATAATTAAATAATATACATTTTAAATTAAATTAATATAATTAAAGAATATACATCATAAATTTAATTCATATAATTAAATAATATACATCATAAATTAAATTCATATAATTAAATAATATACATTATAAATAAAATTCATATAATTAAATAATATACATTATAAATTAAATTAATATAATTAATTAATATACATTTTAAATTAAATTAATATAATTAAATAATATACATTATAAATTTAATTCATATAATTAAATAATATACATTTTAAATTAAATTCATATAATTAAATAATATACATTATAAATTAAATTAATATAATTAAATAATATACATTATAAATTAAATTAATATAATTAATTAATATACATTATAAATTTAATTCATATAATTAAATAATATACATTATAAATTAAATTAATATAATTAAATAATATACATTATAAATTAAATAAAATACACTTTAATTAAACAAAATATACTATAAATAAACAATAATTTAACTAAAGGACATAAATTAATTTTTTGCATTTTAACATATATAATCTCCCCATCACATCTACTGTCGATTTTGACCGGGTCGTGTCAATCGTTGGTGAGTTCCACAAGCAGGTGCTCGTCTAGTACGTTGGCCTGTTCTGCGATTTCCTTCTTCATTTTGTGGTTGAGTTGAAGTTGAAGGTCCCGCGTCACAGCCGCCCATTAAAAATTCCTCAATCATGTCCTCATTGGTAAAGTCTGTCTCGGCTGCACTGCCATAACTTAATCTGGTTCCCTCCCAATTCCAATTTGGTATGGGATTAGAAGACATTGGGCTATTTATTGAGGGTTGGTAACAATCTTGGGAGGTAAATTGTTGTGGTCGGGGAATATGCATTTGTTGTTGGGGTGTTTGATAGTTGGGATTTTGTGGGGTTTGTTGGGTGCCCCATTGGGTGGGGTTAGAGGAAGGATATTGTTGTTGGGTGCCCCATTGGGTGGGGTTAGAGGTTGGATATTGTTGGTGGGTGCCCCATTGGGTGGGGTTAGATGAAGGATATTGTTGGTGGGTGCCCCAATGGGTGGTGTTAGATGAAGGGTTTTGTTGTTGGGTGCCCCATTGGGTTGGGTTAGAAGAAGGGTTTTGTTGATGGTATTGTTGGCTTGGGGTAAATGGTGGTTGTGTTGGGAAGAATGGTTGTTGCGTAAAAGATGGTTGTGTTGGGAAGAGAGGTTCTTGGTTGTGTTGGGTGTAAGTGCTTGATGATGGTTGGGTGTGTTGGACGTTTGAAGATGTTGGGAAATTACGAGGGTCATACAAAAAGTTGTTTGGTGACAGATACAAATTTGTAACAGACTTATACCATTGCATGTATTCCTTACTTGGCTTACATTCTTCTGACATGACATCTCCTTGTAAGACTTTATTTTCGCGGTTATGCCATTGACGACGCTCCTGCTTGTAACAATCTTTCCAATTGCTATATGCCCATTGATCGTTCACCACACTTTTGTGATACTCCTCCATGCACTGTGGAGCATCCGGTATGCCTTGCTTAATGCCAAATTGAAGTTTTACCCGATCAGAATGGTGCATTTCAACAGTAGTAAAACATATGATAAATGTTTTTGCACTCCACACGTGACTATCGGTCGGATCGGTATCATCAAGTCCCAGATAGGGCCTCCATGTAAACTGTTAAAAAAATCAGTTATTAGTTTAACGAACCATATAAAATATGTAATACTTAAAATATGGTTAAGAATATTACATCAGATTCTTCAAAATGATCGATGAAAGTCCGATAGCCAGGTGCACAATGATGAGGAGTCTTTTCGTAATCCATCCCATAGGCAGACCATCTAAAAAAATGTAATAGTTAATTATTGTTCACATAATATATAAGTTTAAGACAAAGGAGTAGTAACGACTTACTTGGTTGCGTACGGAAAATGAAAAGGATTACGATTCCTAGGTGCTAGATTCGGCATCCTGGACCAGCCCCAAGCTTGTATTAGTGTTGAACAACCAGCAAAATTATGAACATCTTTTTTGGCGCATCTACAGAGGTTTCTGTATAGATGCGATAAAACTGCTGATCCCCAACTGTATCTACCTATTTTATTAAAGTCAGCTAGCAATGGTAAATACATTAGATGTATTGTGTTACCATTTGTGTCAGGAAATAATAAACAAGCGAATAACAATAAAATATAAATTCTAGTTTTTTTATGAATTTGTTCTAGGGGGGAATCTTGGTTCAATTCAAATGCATCATATATTTCCCGGAGCCAAGTAATTTTGACGAATTGGCCCTTTCTAGCTCTTTCGGGCAATTCTTCACCCAAGAGTTCTTGAGTTAATGAGTAATCAACATTTGTTCTCCCATTCACTGCCAAACCGTTTACACGTAAACCCATCAACATGTGGACATCTTCAAGGGTGACTGTGGATTCACCGGTAGGAAGATGGAATGTGTGTGTCTCTGGACGCCATCTTTCACATAAAGCAAGAATAAATTTCCTATCCACCCCATATGACGTTATGTTGAGTACGTGCCCAAAGCCCACTTGCATCAAATATGGACGGATCATTTCGTCTACGCGCACATATGAGTGTGTACGAGGCCTAAATTTTTTCTCATTCTAAAAAAAATAGTTAATATTAGAATATGGTTAATGTTAGAAGTATATGCTTAAAATTTTAAAAAATTTATACGTAAATATATTCAAGACTTACATATTGGAGGATGTTTGACAATGTTCCTCGGTGCTCCTCTCCATAGGTTAACAGAGACATTATAGTAAATTGAGATGTAGTGTAAAATTATGATGAGAAATAATAGATAAAGATTGAGTGTGATGTAAATTTTGAAAAAATGAGTAGTATTTATAGAGAAATAATGTAGGGTTTTTATTCAAAACATTTAATGGAAAACAAAAAATTGGTTGGGTATTTACTCTGCATGCATGCTGCGTACGTAGACCCAGGCTGCATGCACAGTTTTGCAGGGTCCGCCTAATCAATGGGCGGAAGCCTTCTAATTTCCTGACACACCGCACATGCAATAGGCGGAAATGTTTCTTTTTGTCTGCCATCCGCACTTTGGATGGGCGGAAGCGTGCATTTATACCTGCCTAGGGCGCAGAAGCAATGGGCGGAGCCTGCATGTACTTCAATGCATCCGCCTACTCAATGGGCGGAAGCCTTTAAAAATTAAATGACACCGCTTCTGCATTGGGCGGATGATTTATTACAACAAAAATTAAATTCTACCTGCGTTTATTTATTATACCATATCTACTAAACACAAAATCTATTTCATTTAAATACACCTCTACCTCCTACTTTTTTTCATCAATCCAACCCATCACAAAACCAAATTTCTCCTACAATTCAGATTTTATTCAGTACGAAATCAACATGTCTCAAATACCTCAATACATAGTAGATGCTCATTACAATGGAAACATCCTTATCTCCGATGAAATGGGCATTATATTCGAAAATACCGATATATGCCGGTTCAAATTAAGTAGAAATGCGAAATTTGAATATTTGAGGGAGAGGATACAAACAAGGATGCAATCTGGAGTTGTCTCACAAATTATATATCGAAATGCTGTTAATTTCGGTGTTAACCAGGTGAAATATGTTCCACTGAAAATCCGAGATGATGATGATGTGGAAATGATGTTTTACAACCATGAATTATCTGGGTTACATGCGATAGATTTATACATAAAATTTCAAACTTCTCAACAATCTCAAATCTCACAAGTGGCCAATCCCAATGATGCTGAGCCCGTGTCCATAATTCCCGAGGAAGTCGTTGTCGAAGATGACGAAGAAGAGGAGACTGAGTCACAAGCTGATGATTTGTTCACTACTTTATTTGAAGACGGTGGACGTGACGAGGTGGATGCAATCAACGAAACTGAACAACATATTCCACTTGAGAATGTCTATTGTCCACCCGCCCACATGACAACTCTGGATACAGCTGGAGACGAATCATCCTTTCAATGGCCCAAAAATCCTCGTCTTCCGCTGGAGGATGACATAGCTGTTGGGAACCAGTTCAAAAACAAATCTGACTGTGTCTTTGCGATATCCAGGTACCATATGAAACATGTCGTTGATTTCAGGGTTACGTGTTCTGACACAAAGAGATATAAAATTTGTTGTAAGCGAAGTGGTTGCAACTTTCGTCTAGTGGCATCTTATAGGAAAAGGAGCGACCTATGGGAGATAGGAATCATGGAGCCCCCACATAATTGTTCAACGACCATCTTTAATCAGGATCATCGACAACTAAGCTCTCGACTGATGAGTGAACGATTAATGCCTCTTGTTGAAAAGGATCCCTTCATCAAGGTGAGTGTATGTATTAACGAAATTGTTTCTTTTTTCAACTACACTCCATCTTACAAGAAGGCATGGATTGCTAGAAACAAAGCAATCGAACAAGTGTTTGGTAATTGGGAAAAGTCATACAATGAACTTCCAAATTACTTGTTGGCCCTTAAGAAGTTTGTTCCAGGCACTGTAGTAGAAATGCAAACACTACCGGTATATACAGATGACGGGACTATTATTGCTGGGAAACAAATCTTCCACCGACTATTTTGGGCTTTCCAACCATGCATACGTGGCTTTGCATATTGCAAGCCTTTACTACAGATTGATGGTACCTGGTTATATGGAAGGTACAAAGGTACACTACTAATGGTTGTAGCACAAGACGGAAACAGCAATATTTTCCCAGTTGCCTTTGCCTTAGTGGAAGGTGAGACGGCGGATGGTTGGGGTTTCTTTCTAAAAAACTTGAGAATGCATGTCGCTCCTCAACCTGGCTTGTGTTTGATTTCTGACCGACATGCATCTATCGAAAGCGCTTATAACAATCCTGAAAATGGTTGGAGTAACACTACATCTGTCCATGTGTATTGTATCAGGCATATTGCGCAAAATTTTATGAAGGATATCAAGGACCGTATCCTCCGGAAAAAAATAATCAACATGGGTAAGTACTTTTTATGCAAACATTACATGCTCGTTAATAGTTTACCATTATATTAACCAATATTTTTTTAACATGTAGGGTATGCGCTGAACCAACCAACATTTAAATATTATCGTAATGAAGTTGGGATGGCTAATGGTGATGCTTTGAGGTGGATAGATAGAATTCCCGTTGAAAAATGGACGAGGGCGTTTGATGAGGGTCGTCGTTGGGGGCACATGACAACAAACCTTGTCGAGTCACTAAATTCCGTATTTAAAGGCACTCGTAATCTCCCCATCACATCGCTAGTAAGTGCAACATACTATAGGATGGGAACACTCTTTGCTGAAAGGGGTGCAAAGTGGAGTGCAGTTTTGAATTCTGGACAAACATTTACAGAACGGTGCGTGAAGGTGATGAAAAAAGAGACGTCTAAATCCGCCACACATCAAGTAAGCATTTTTGACTATAATAATAACACTTTCAGTGTGAAGGAGACAATTAACCACGGTGAGGGGAAGCCATTGGGGCGTTACAAGGTCAACCTAATGGAAGGATGGTGTGACTGCGGAAAGTTTCAAGCATACCGTGTTCCTTGTTCACATGTTATCGCTGCATGTTCTGTGGTACGCCAAGACGCATTTCTTCTGTTGTCTGACGTTTACAAGGTTGCGAACTTATTTGGGGTTTACAGCACGAGCTTTCCAGTTCTACCATACGATGAGTATTGGCCCACTTATGAGGGAGATCAAATTTGCCATAATCCAGTTATGCGGAGGAACAAGAAAGGTCGTCCCGTGAGCACCCGTATTACAACAGAAATGGACGCGTATGATAAGTTGGAGAGAAAATGCACATTGTGTCGTCTTCCAGGTCACAACCGAACGCGATGCCCCAATGTAGGAACTAGTAATAATTAGTTATTTATTTTGTTATCAATCTGCAAAGTTGTATGTATAATGACACCGAGTTATTATGTTTCATTTCACTAATACTTCTGCATTTAATATAAATAACAATTCGAAAAAATAACACATAAATTAAAATACTGAGACGAATAGTAGAACTTAGCAACAACATTAAACGTAAACAACATCAACATGTTCAAACAAGGACATAACCATTTCTAGGATATTACAATCAGCAACACAATGTCTTTTTGTTGAAGCATCATCATAAGAACACATGCGTCGTTGTGAACAAGTCTCCAAGAACGAGTGGGTCCATTTAAGCCAGGCACCGTAACTAACCTCTCTATTTTTCGAATCTTTTCACCTTGGGCAATTTCTTCCCCTAACCATCCCTCCAAGTGCCTATGCAGCTGCTCAAATGTCTGCGTGTTCGATACAACTAAAGAAAAAAATTTAAGTGTAGCTTGGATCATTCAACATCAACGATATTTATAGGTCACAACAAAAATATTAAATTAATAAAATAATAAAACCCTCCGCCCATTAACGTGACGGAGCCATAAATAAATAATAAAATTACGAAAGCTTCCGCCCATCGCACTGGCGGAACCGTACTGAAATAATAAAATAATAAAATGAATAAAACCCTCCGTCCATTGCAGGGGCGGAGCCGCACTGCAATAATAAAATAACATGACCCTTTCTATGATTAATATTTTAACATTGATTTCTTACTTAATAATAATTTAATTTATTTTTAAAATTACATTAAAATAAATTTTATTTGTATAATAATATTTTAATATTTTAATAATTTCATTAAAATGACTTAAAATTTGAATTTTTCAATTTCTTTTTATACAAATTTATTGATTTCTTACTTAATAATAAATTTAATTTATTTTTAAAATTACATTAAAATAAATTTTATTTGTATATTAATATTTTTATAATTTACTTAAAATGACTTAAATTTGAATTTTTCAATTTCATTTTATACAAATATATTGATTTCTTACTTAATAATAATTTTAATTTATTTTTAAAATTACATTAAAATAAATTTTTTTTGTATATTAAAATTTTAATATTTTAATAATTTTATTAAAATGACTTAAAATTGAATATATCAAATTCATTTTATACAAATATATTATTTTTTAATTTAACAGCAATTTTAATATATTTTTAAAATTATTTTTAAAAAAAAAACGTTGCTCACACAGCTCCGCCAATGCAATGGGCGGAAGCGTTGTATTTTTGAGAACATCCGCCCATCTATTGGGCGGAGCCTCCTAATTCCAATTTTTTTTTTTTTGAAAAAATGGTATATTGGGAATTATGGTTGAAAGGTGTGGTATATTGGGATATAGTTGTTAAAAGGGGTGTATGTTGGTAAAAAATTCTCAAATTCTTCAATATGTCCTAAACCAGAAATTATGACCGTGAACCAAGAATATATGGAATGTGATAGATATGGCAAATAATAACACATAGTGGTGGTTTTGTATTCCGCCAACTCCGTGTGTACGTTATTTGGCAATTTAGAGTCTGTTTTGGTGGACCCCACTCACACAACACACAACTGCTGCATTGCAACGTTCCTCCTTCTCTTCTCATTTCTTCAATTTTATTATTCTCTCATTAATTACTCTCCGAATGGGAATCATATTCTAGAACCTTCTTCTTCCATTTTTAGCTTTCAATATACTGTAAGCATCTTTTTCACTGAAACTTGTTCTGAAAACCTCATGATTTCTATCTATTTCTCTCTTTTGCATTTTCATTTTCATTTTCATTTCTTTCTCAAAACAGAACAAGATCACGCAATGATAGACTAAACCTAATAAATGTTTCTATTTATATGTGCCATTGTTCTTCATGTACTGAATCGTTTGATTTTGATTGTGAAACTCTAATGTATTACTTGATGCTTTGGTTTAACCTAGAAATTTTTCTAAGGAGGCTTGTTCAGTTATTGTTTATTATTTAATTTATTCACAGGAATTTTTCTTCCTGTTTCTATAGTTGAATACGATGGACCCTGTTTATACTGAAGATTTTGAACTTGAAGATGATGTTGTTGCTTTGGGAACATGTAGTGGTAAAGTTGATGGTTCTGTTAAGAAGAGGCTGTTTGATAATAGTGATTCCTTGCATATTTCTGTTAAGAAATGGAAGGTGTTGTGTGATGATCGTGACGAATATGAAGATGAAGATGGTGAACTGTCGTCGGATAGAGCTAAGAGTCTGGGAAAATCAGTTGATAGATCATTTTCCTCATTGAAGAACGAACTTGAGTTTGTTGAAAAATCATTTGAGGAGTGTAAAAGGAAGAGGAGGAAAGAAGAGAAGAGATTGGAGTCTGTAAAGAGAGAGATTGAGGAGTGTAGCAGAGAGCTTGGAAATAAGAAGAAGCTAGCTGGTTGCGTTAGGAGAATTAACGAAATTCACAAGAAAATGCTGGGGAAAGTTGAAGGATGTGTTAAGGATTTTGTAGGGAAGGAAGCACAGTTGTGTTTGATAGAGGAGTTGATTGGAGAGCGCAAGGTAGAGCTTAGGGTAAAAGAGATAGAACTTGGTCGAGTCATGAATAACATTTCAAAAGAAAGGGAATTTAAAAGCCAAATGAACGAGCTGGTGGATGATTTGTTGTTAAAACAGAAGCATTTCGAAAGGCAAACCATGGAGCTTGAGTTAAAAGAGAAGCAACATGAAGGGCTAGTGATGAAATGGGAATTAAAAGAGAGAGAATTTGAAGGCCAAATGAAGGAGATGGGATCACAGAAGAGGCATTTTGAAAGCCGGCTGAGGGAGCTTCAGTCAAAAGAGAAGCAAAATGAAAGCTGGGTGAAAGAGCATGAATCAAAAGCAAGATATTATGAATGCCAAGTGAAGGAGCTGTTGGGTGATTTGGTATTAAAACAAAAGCATCTTGAAAGCCGAACCAAGGAGCTTGAGTCAAAAGAGAAGCAACATGAAGGCCAAGTGAAGGAGCTGGAATCTAAAAAGAAGGATTTTGAAAGCCAAGTGGATGAACTCAAAGCAAAAGAAAGGCAATGGAAAGGACAAGTTAAGGAACTTGAGTCTAAAGAGAAATTACTTGATGGCCGAGTGAAAGAGGTTGATTCAAAAGAGGATGAATTTAAAGGCCGGGTGAAGGAGTTGGAATTAGAAAAGAAACATTTTGAAATCCGAATGAAGGACCTTGGGTCAAAAGAGAAGCAACACAAAAGCCGGATGAAGGAGCATGATTCAAAAGCGAGAAAATTTGAAGGCGAAGTAAAGGAGCTGAAATCTAAAAACTTACATTTTGAAAGCCAGGTGGAGGAGCTCAAATTAAAAGAGATGCAACTGAAAGGAAAAGTTAAGGAATTTGAGACTAAAGAGAAGCAACTTGATGGCCCAGTAAAGGAGTTTGATTCGAAAGAGGCTGAATTCAAAAGCCGAGTGAAGGAGCTGGAATCAGAGAAGAAGCAACTTGATGGCCGAGTGAAGGAGTTTGATTCAAAAGAGACTGAATTCAAATGCCGACTGAAGGAGTTTGATTCAAAAGAGACTGAATTCAAATGCCGACTGAAGGAGTTGGAATCAGAGAAGAAGCAACTTGAGGGCCGAGTGAAAGAGTTTGATTCAAAAGCGGCTGAATACAATGGCCGAGTGAAAGAATTTGATTCAAAAGAGGCTGAATGTGAATGGCGAGTGAAGGAGCTGGAATCAGAAAAGAAGCAACTTGATGGCCGAGTGAAGGAGTTTGATTCAAAAGAGACTGAATTCAAATGCCGACTGAAGGAGTTGGAATCAGAGAAGAAGCAACTTGAGGGCCGAGTGGAAGAGTTTGATTCAAAAGCGGCTGAATTCAATGGCCGAGTGAAAGAATTTGATTCAAAAGAGGCTGAATGTGAATGGCGAGTGAAGGAGCTGGAATCAGAAAAGAAGCAACTTGATGGCCGAGTGAAGGAGTTTGATTCAAAAGAGGCTGAGTTCAAAGGCCAGGTGAAGGAGCTGGAATCAGAGAAGAAGCAACTTGATGGCCGGGTGAAGGAGTTTGATTCAAAAGAGGCCGAGTTCAAAGGCCGGGTGAAGGAGCTGGAATCAGAGAAGAAGCAACTTGATGGCCGAGTGAAGGAGTTTGATTCAAAAGAGGCTGAGTTCAAAGGCCGGGTGAAGGAGCTGGAATTAGAAAAGAAGCATTTCGAGAGCCGACTGAAGGAGCTTGAGTTAAAAGAAAAGCAATTCAAAGAACATATAAAAGAGTTCGAGTCAAAAGAAGAGGAGTTCAAAAGGCAAGTGAAGGTGTTTGAATCAAAGAAGGAGGAATTTGAAAGTCAAGTTAAGGATCTCAATTCAAAAGCGAAGCAATTTGAAAGCAAAATCGAGGACTTCAAATCAAAAGAGAAGCAATTTGAAAGCAAAATTGAGGACTTCAAATCAAAAGAAAAGCTATTTGAAGAACGATGGAAAGCACTGAAGTCAAAAAAGAAGCAATTTGAAGTACTAGTCAAGAATCCTGAATCAAAGCTGAATGAACATGAGGAAAAAGAATCAGGTAAATATTCTTATTCATCTAGTTTATTGAGAAAATTTCATTTCAACTGTTTCATTTAATAATGTTGATAGTTTAAATAACCTGATCTACATATATGGTATCTAAATATGCAGCTACATCTTACATGGATGATGAATCAAGTCCTCCCATTGATGAAACAAGTTTGCAGTTGGTCTCTTGTGAGCAATCTGACATTCTAGCTATTCTGCGAGAATCATCGGATCCAGCAAAGTTGGTTTTGGATATAATACTGAACCCCATTCTTCCACATGGTGATAAGAAAGGAGACAATGATGTGATTGTTGATGATAGATGCATCTATCTGCTAGAACAACTGATGAAAATCTCACCAAACATTAAACCTCATGTAAGAGCAGAAGCAATGAAGCTAGCACTTGAATTGAAAGAAAACATAAAACATAATACTGAGAATTCTTTGGATGTTCTCGGTTTTATGCTGATTTTGTCAATTTATGGATTGGTTACTTCTTTCGATGAAAACGAAGTTTTGGAGCTTTTTGCATATGTTGCTCAGCACAATATAGCTTTGGAGCTGTTTAGGGCCCTGAGTTTTGCAAATTAAACTTCTGGTATGTTAATTTTATATCCTAGTTTGAGCATGTTGAATCTTAGAAGCATGTTCCTAATATGGTTTGCAAGTATTTCACACCCGATTTCAAAATTTGGTGTCTGATCCTATTTTGAATTATTTGGTCCAATCTGCATAGGTTTTTTTTGTTAACCGTAATTTATATAATGTCAGTTTTGATAAGTTTTGATGAAGTGAAATTTTCTTGCAAATTGCAGATTTTGCTGAGAAAACTTATCAGGAGGAGGCAATTTGATTCTGCTGTGTGCATGTTACTTGCTTAGAAAAACTTAATGTAAAGAAACGTGGTAATGGAAAACACTACTTTTTGTTGGGGTACATATTTTGACAGGATTATGTTTCTTAATGTAAAGAATGAAAAGCCATGATAAATTTAAGCGTTAAACAAGTTTTTGGTTCCTTTAAATATCTCAAATTTTGTTTTTAGTTCTTTAAAATTTTCTTTTAACGAATTATCCTCCTAAATAATTAAATTTTAACTTTTACTCCCTCTTGCAATTTAGTGACGGTTTTTACAATTTAGCGATAATTTTTATTTAGCGACGGAATTAGAGACTATTTTAACTACGATTTTGTTAGGAGAGATTAAAAATTAAAATTTAACTTAGGATCATTTTTTGAAAGAAAAATTTAAAAAGAATAAAAATGAAATTTGAAATATTTAAAAACGACAAAAAAAAAACTTATTTAATCTTTACTAAAGTTTTGATCGTGTAAAGATATATTAAGTATATGATCTGTAATGAATTTGAAATCTCATTTTCACATTCCAATCAAATGTATTCATATTGTGTGAAAATTTTCAAGCCACAATCTATATCTTCATGAAATATATACTTTTGAACCTTTCAAACAGTTCCAAATTCTCACTTAAATCTTTTATTTATCTATTTATAATCTATTAAATTAGAATCATAAATAGACATGTCGTCAAATTTTTAATCTTAAAATTAACATGTCAAATATATTTTTATGTGACATCTTTTGAAAACTAATTTGTAGTTTTATGTTGTTACGCGTCAAATTTCTTTTCTTAAGCATTTTTTATAAGTGATATTTTTTTCTTCAATTGCTTAATTAGGTTATTTATTATTGTCTTAACTTCAATAGTTAATACATATTCCAGTTTTTTTTTTTCTAACACAATCTCTCTCACCTAGAAATTTTAAGTTAGAAATGATTTGTTGAATTAAGTAAGTAAAATATTAAAAGAGTATAGATATGATGGAACAAGAGGAACTTGAACACAATGTCAACCTCAGTACTCTTTTAATATAGTTTGATATTTTTTTTACTTTATTTTCTATTATTTTGAAACTTCATTTCTCACTTTGACAATTATTATTTAGGGTTAAATACACTTTATCCTTTATAATAGTAGCGAGTTTTGATTTATCTTCTTTTAAAAAAAATTTAAATGTCATCTTGACTTTTTTTAATATTTTTATTTAAGACACTTGGATCCTAAATTAAATTAATTATCAAAATATATTATTTAGACCTAAAGCCCATTTTGGATTTACTTGATTAAAAATCCATTTACTCATGTCTGTCCATTTTCAATTCATTTAGAGTTGTGTTTCTTTGTTATATAAACAATATTTCTATTTCTATTACAAGCAATGTGAGACTCTTAAAATATAGAGTTTTTGTTTTTATGTTTGCAGAGTTTACTTTATTGTTTCTGACTTTAAGATCTTGAATGAATTAAACTTAGAGGTTCATACATGCGTCAAGCTGAGAGGTCATCTCTTTCACGGGGAGTTGCAGCAGATGAATTTGAACTTCTGTCATAATATTGGTTTTTTGAACTGCTCAGACTCTTCCGTTGATGAAGTACAAATTACAGCAGGCCACTATTTTGTGGAGAATAACAATCTGACTCTAGTGTACTAATTGGTGTAGGAGACTTGATAAAATCATCAATTGAGTCAAGTAAAGGATGAGGGGGAGATGTACCCCAGCTACCTAAATCAATTTTCGGATATTGGAGTGAAGGGAACTCCGACTTCACAACCTCAAAAGGCTTAGAAGTAGAGAAGTTGCCATTTTTAAGTGAATGGCTATAACACGGTAAGTTGTTTGAGAAGAAACCAGGATCAAGAGGGGATTGCACCTCAAATGACTGTATCAACTTATCAAAAGCATCATCATGAATATGTTCATATGGATAAATATTGTTTCTGTCAATACAACCGAAATCAAGAAACGATATTGGGGACTCTCGAAAACGTTTGAGATTAGATGATGTTGATGGCACAAAACTTCAGTACTGAGAAGAATCAAAACCATTTTGCATATTGTTCATAGTTAATGTGCTATTACAAACATTGGAGGTTCATAAATAAAACTGTACAAATTTCCATGATGAAATAGGCAACAGATGTATATGTGATGTGAAAACAAAAATTCGACATTTTAAAAGTCCCACATTGCTTGTAATAGAAATAACATTTATATAACAAAGAAACAAAACTCTAAATGAATTGAAAAAGGACAGGCATGGGTAAATGGGTCTTTAATCAAGTAAATCCAAAATGGGTTTAAGCCTAAATAATATATTTTGGTAATTAATTTAATTTAGGATCCAAGTCTCTTAAATAAAAATATTTATAAAAAAAACAAGGTGACATTTAATTATACAGTCAGCAAGAGTGTCACATGTCACGTCAGAAATTCAAAGGGAATCTTGGGCGATAAGGTTTTCGTTTTGAAATCTATATTTGTTAAGGGGCGAAAAAAAATTTTTTATTTAAAATGAAGGTAAATCAAAACTCACTACTATTGCAGGAGGGTAAAATGCATTTAACCATATTATCTATGATTGTTTAAAATTTGTTTTTTTTACTCTAGACTTGTGTCATATTAAAATTCTGAGACTCCATTTATCACTTTTAATGGCCAATAACTATTTATCAATTTATCAGACAAAATTATTATTCTTTAAAGCAGTTGATAATTTGAAACTTCATTTCTCATTATCAATAATTATCTATTGATGTTTATTCTGCCTCTAATATCATATTAAAATTTTAAAATTTCATTTGTCACTCTTGCTTGCCAATAGCTATATATGAATCCAAATTATAACTTTACGACTAGTATCATAAAAAATAATATTTATGATTTATCATTATTTAAGGCAATAACTATTGATGAATCTAAATTTTAATTGTTTTTAATGTAACATGCTACAATATTAATTGTATAGTTTGAAGAGTAGTGTTAACAATACATTCTTTTCAACACTATCTCAAACACTCAATTTTTTATTGGTTAAAATATATGTGAGTCCCTCACTTTGAAAATAGGTTTCACATAAATTGTTAGGACCCACACATGTTTCAACCAATAAAAAAGTGAGTGTTTGATAGAGCGTTAAAACGAGAGTGTTCTTAATATTTCTCATATTTAGAATTTGAATTGACCAATAGTCACTACAAGAGTCATATTTATCACTAAAAGCTATCACATTATTAGCTCCTTCTCGTTTACTTTCTTTATCAGATTTAGACCAGATGATTGATAGACTCTTCTTCTATTTCTTAAGGAAAGTAGGCCATTCCATTTTCATGTGATCATATCCTTCACATTCATAACATTGAGGTTCTTTTCCTTTTGAAAAGTCTTCTTCTTTGCTCTTGTGTTAGGGACAATTGTCTGACCTTTTACTACACACATTTGTCCTTCATTGTTTGTCCAGTCTTCTTAAGGACATCTTGAACTTTCTTTAATATAGGCTATAAAATATGTGAAACTTTCTTCAGTATCATTATCACCTTGATATATATTTTCTTGAGTGTTGGATATAAAAGCTACATCTTTATTCTTCTTTTCTGATCTTCCATTTATAGAAACTTCAAAAGTTTGTAGGGACCAAATAAGTTCATCGACCTTAAATATGCTTAAGTCCTAGGCTTCTTCTGAGGCAAAGATTTGATGGTCTTTCTCTCCAACTTTTCTTCTGTCATCTTTTCTCCCAAAGCAAAAGAGTTATTGGCTATATCACACAATCTAATGTTGAAATCAGATATTGATTCGTCTTTCATCATCTTCAGATTTTCAAACTCAGTTGGGAGGAACTCGAGCCTTGAAATCCTTACCTTGGATGTTCCTTCATGAACAGTCTTGAATATCTCCAAAGCTTATTTAGCTTCAATACATGTGTTGATTAGTCTGAACATATTCTTATCAATACCATTGGATATGTCATTCAAGACTTTATCATTTCCAAGAGCTTCATCATCTTCATCTTTGGAAAAATCAACTTCAGGCTTTAAGCTTGTAGAACCATCTTAAGAAGTTATCACATGATGTTTCCAACATTTAACCATAACCTTCCAAGCATTGCATCCTATGGGTTTAAGAAAAGCAACCATCTTGGCTTTTCAATAGTCATATTTTATGTCATCCAAAATAGGTGGCATGTTGAGTGAACCTCCAACCATAGTGTTGTCCATTTGAACATAATATATTCTCCCCGGAGCTCACAAAAATAGAATAGGGTGTCTACTCTAATGCCAATTGAAATTTAGTTCCTGGTGGGACATATGTTGAACATGATATTGGAACAACTAGTCTAACACAGATGAGCAACAACACATAGTCAATGTAAAAGCAATAAATAACACCAGATATTGGTAACCCAGTTCAGTGAAACCACACCTACGTCCAAAGGGAACTCTACCTAAGAAAAGAAATTCACTACTTTGAATTAGTACAATTAGTCTTCTATGAACACCAACCCCATGATGCTCAATGCATATTTCTAATCCTATTGACTTTCTATTTAGGTTTCTCCCTAAATGTAAGAACGCCTATCACTTTCTCTCAATCACTTATCCCAAGTGATTAACTTTAATAACAATCCTATTGAATGTTGAATTTACAACTCAACTAAGACAAACCAACAACTATGCCAATTTACTGAAACATAGAGTGGTATACACAAAGATTCAACAATATCCATTATGATGGCATTAATGTGGAATACAAGTTATAAAGACTCAAAACCCTAGCACAAAGATACTAAAACTTGCGCAAAAAATCCATGTCTCAAACGTGAGACTAGAGCCTCTTTATATAACAATATCTTCTGGGATTTTCTCTTTTTGGCGTTTGATTTGATTTAGTCTTGAAAATTGATGATTCTGTTGCATATGATATTCTCCATGATTGTCTCCAACAATAAGATATGATTTGTTATATTTTAAATTCAAATCTAAATCTCCATTTAAATCCGATTTGAACATATCCAGCTTTCAAACAAATAAAACAAACATTGCTAAAATACCTTCAACAAATCTGGTTAAACCCTAATCAAAAACTGTGCACCAAACAACATCCATTTGGATTACCGTTAAAGCCAGATATTGCACTGCACAGGCTGGAACGTCGAGCTTCACATGTTGCACCAGAACATTCAAATTAACTCTTCATCATTAATATGTAAGTATTCTTTGTATAGTGAGTCTTGGATAGACTAAGTGTGAAATAAAACTGCAATAACATCTATCTATTGTAAGATACCAGATGTTACAGCACACATGTTGAAACATTGGGTTCCACATGTATCCCTTCTGCACCAAAACTAGCTTGAACAAACTCCATGTTTTTGCATAATGCATTCAATCCAAAAGGAACGTTAATGTTTTAGACATACACCACAGGATCATTCTCTGATCTCTCTTGGCACTACATAACATATCATGTACACACAAATGACAAGTTATATTAATGGGTTTTGCCTAACATGCTCTCAATTTATGAAATCATTTAATTTCTTTAAATTGTAATTGACATTGTTTACTATTAACTTGAACAAGTGACAACCATAAACTAGTTTAGTCCTGCTCATGCTCATTTGCACAAGATAGTTTTTACAAAATAAACTTGTGTTGCTTTTCACTCCCCGTGGGTTCGCCATCCTTTCTATTCTATAAATTGCTACTTAAAACACACATGTATACTTGCATATAACATCACACGTTTTCAACCAACACTCCACAATGGCATATATGGCCAAGAGTTTATTATAAGCACTTTACATTTCCTCCAAATACTAATTCTGATCAATTGTAAGATGATTGATCTATTCGCTAGGTTTCTCCCTCTCCCATGAAAAACAATTAGGAAAGAATTATCCCCCCTTAACAAACATTCTCGAATGCCAAAATAGTTGATGCCCAACGAGTATAGAAAGCTGATTCGCCCAATTCCCTTTGTTGAGCTTCCTCAAATAGATATAATAAATAAGTATAATCTACATATGAGTCTGAAGATCAAAATTATCTATCTGTTCTTAGGCCAGGATGAGCTAGCAACATCGGATTTGGCTCCATTCGAGTGGATATATGCCTTTCTACAGTTCTATGTCGGGGCCCCTTGTAAGGAGGCCTCTCCACCTGAATCTCTTCCAACTCTAGGGTGGGTTCCAACCTTCCCTTGCATGTTAGTTGTGGATATAGTAAGACTTCATCCATCACGAATCAAGCGGGAAAATATCGGACTTCCACTCGAGCGAGAGGAGGAATTATATGAACGACCTGCCTAGTAACTGAACCAAAAGGTGTTCTAGTAAGTGTACCCAAAGTGGAATCTCCCCTAACAGAAGGAGTACTTGAAATTACAACCAAAGCACCACTCATTTAAATCTATTTCCTCAATTGCCACATGGAATCATTTCTATTCATCGCATTTACACGATCAAGAAAACAAACATCAAAGAAAGTTTAAGAAAATTAAACAAGGAAAATAAGGCTCTGGATCTATTTACCAATGATTATCTTCTTTTCCTATTTTGGTTTAGCATCCATCAGTCAACAGGTTTGAATGCACTTTTTTGACCGGTTTCTCGAAGCACCATCGTCACACTCAAGCTCCTTAAAGATAACAACCAATTGATTTTTCAAGTATAATTCCTCTAGGGACAAGTCTCCTTCCTTGTAAGCATACGAACCATCCCATGTTAAGTTATGGCTCTAAGTCCAATTCATATAGAATATGTCTGAACAAATAGAGGAAGGATTAAGTTCTAAGTGGCAAATTGTCATATATGCAATAATCAAAATGCTTCATGTTGTCAAAATAAGCTTCAAAGTACAAGATATGTTGCCTCAAAGAAGCAAACCAAAATCATTTTCATTATTAAATTTATTTTGAACTTTGAAAAGATGGAAAAATAATGTCATGGTCGGCTTAACTTCTTTATACTTGTGCCAGTGCAAGAAGAATTTAATGAATACCCAACTCACTAAATTCAGTTGCGAAGGGGCGATCAATAAGTGATTCAATATGCTAAGTTAGAATTTGTTAAAAGGAATATTGTGACCTATGATGGAGAACATGTAGTCGGGAAAAATGGAAAGTGCATCCATCATATCGGTTGTAGATCCTCTTATATTCATCTGAGGGGAAAACCCTAGTTAGTTAGTGAAAAACACCTTTACAAATAAATGTGAAAACAATCCCAGTATACCTAGATCTACAAAGTCGCCTGAAATACACTTACCATCCTTCTTGGTCAAAGTTTATATTATCACTATGGTAACAATATGTTTTAAAAAGAACTGATGCATGTACAAATAAGAAACCAGGCTCAAGCGATCACTACCTTGGAAGCCTTACAAATTGGAGCAAGATCAAGAGAGGACATGGACTTCAGGACTCAGAAGAAGGATCAACCTAACATGCAAAACCAATGTCAATAACCAAATCTTCTACACTTGGTTCAACATCAAAACAAAACACTCTCAGGAAAGAATGATAAAGAAAACAAAAACACTCTTTTTGTAGGTCACTAACAACTAAAAAGGTAAAGTAACGCTTCAAAAACTCTTTATACACTATTCAGGAACTAAGGACCATACGATATACCCTTCACTACCAACGATGGATATCTTATCAGAAATGATTTAAAAGCACTAAATACTCTAAAGAGGGAGAAACATCATTTTTATCTAGCGAACAAAGGTGTGTCATCTACTACCACTGTTATGTTACGACTTCCAAAAAAGGAATTTATGTGCCTATTCCCGAGAAATGACAAAGTTCAATATAGGAGTTCCACGCCCATGGATCCTGTTTCTTAATAATAATGCTTGTCGCCAACCTTGGCCTTGCAAAGTAGAGACAAAATCTTAGGGGGAAAAGTTTTGAGCCATCTGTATAACCCAAAAGATGAAGGTTCAATTACGATGTAACAAGTTACTACACAAGGGACAAGTATACCCATTATCTTCTATGTCGTAGAATATCTATCACAAGAATTCCATTTCAATATCCCACATCAATCTAACAACTAATCACATCCCATTATATTCCACATGTGTGTAGTTATTAGTTACCCCCATATTTAAAAGAGGAAAATGTACCACTTCATAAGTATTCAATCCTTTTCCACTCAAACTTTAATTTTCACTCTCTTACTAACCTAAGTGTTAAAGTGATAACCTTGCAGGCCAGTCCTCCTCTTTGCTACATCGGAAGCCGTGAACCACCAAAACAGGATTTGAATCTACTCTTCTTGATCAAATCTAGTTCTAGTACGTAACATATTTGTTAAAATCTTTGTGTTATTTATTTCCAAAGGCTTTCACTAGGCCGCAATTCTCTCTTAAATGTCTTGCAGGAAAACCCCCAAATTAGTCAATGATCTTGGAGGAAAATCCTGCAATTTTTACGGATGAAGACCCCTGCAAATCACAACCAAATATTCTCGACTACACAAGAACCTAATTGGACGTTATCGAACCTCGTCTAGATAGCACCCCAACAAAAGATCGTTGCAATGGTTTGTTAGCGTGTATGCATGGGTTAAGGGTTGAAGGTGAAGAGAAATTGCAGAAAACTTTTATGGTATCATCAAGTTGGAATGATGCATGAATGATATATTTATAGTTGAGAACTTTTTAAGTAAAAGAGAGAAGTTTTGGAATGAAAAAAAAATGCAAAAATAACCCACATAACAGTATGAGCCGGCCTAAAATTATTTTGAATTATTTTTCAAATGAATACTCATAATATATATATATATATATATATATATATATATATATATATATATATATATATATATATATATATATATATATATATATATATATATATATATATATATATATATATATATATATATATATATATATATATATATCATACAGCAAGTATGTCATGTACTTAGAGAGAAAAAAATAAACAAGTAAAAGAGAGAACTTACTAACAAAGAGAAAATTAAATCGATACTACCTCACCATACAATATGACGGAGGATGCACTTGCATTTCACAAGGAACTTTCATTCCAAAACTTCCCTCTTTTTCCTAAAAAATTCTCAACTATAAATATATAATTCATGCATCATTCCAACTTGATGATACCATAAAAATTTCCTGCAATTTCTCTTCCCCTTCAACCTTCAACCTATGCATACACACTAACAAACCATTGTAACAATCTTTTGTTGGGGTTCCATCTAGACGAGGTTCGATAACGTCCAATTAGGTTCTTATGCAGCTGAGAATACAAGGTTGAGATTTGCAGGGGTCTTCATCTGGAAAAACCGCAGGTTTGTCCTCCAAGATCATTGATTGATTTGGGGGTTTTCGTGTAAGACATTCAAGAGAGTATTGCGGCCTAGTGAAAGCATTTGGATATAAAGAACAAAAAGGACCCTTTGGAGATAAATAATGCAAAGGAAGTAGTGAAAGAATGAAAAATTGAATAGAAGTCTTATGTTGCAATAGGTGTAATTGACGGTGCGCAAAAGCTTTAGAGATAAAGTATGCAAAGGAGTAGCAAGATCCGGATAATCAATTGGAAGATATTGTGTCTTGGTCTTGTTGAAGATCAAAAGAAGAGAAGAGGTTGAATCAACATAAAACGGTTATGGTTTGTAGGGTCTCTCTTGAACACTTCTCTTGTAATCATACTTTTTGCAAAGCAAGAAAGTATCCTAATTCCATTGGAATTAGGCGCAGGCGTACCCACACTCGAGGATGAAAGTGGGGAACTGTGAAGAAAAATCCTCGTGTCTCTTTTCTTTTATCGCTTTACTTGCTTTAATTTTCATATATCAATTTGTCAAACAACATTGAGTAATCCATTAACTCGTAGGAATTTTCAGGGAATGTTTTTGTTTTGAATTGTGTGTTTATTTTCTTATAATCACTTTTGATTATAAATTCTTTTTCATATCAACACAACTCAAAGGAAAATTCTGAAAATTCGGTTGCACACCAAGTGTTCGACAAATTGTTTGATCGATTGACTCGTAAGGATTTTTTTTGCAATTTTTTTGTTTAAAGTGATGTGTTGATTAGCTTATAATAATTTTGATTATAAGTGGTTTTTATATCAACACAAATAAAAGGAAAAATTCTGGAAAAATTTGAACGCACACCGATTGTTTGACAAATTGCAATGTTCTATCTCTTACTCTCATTTACTCTCTCTATATGCAATTTCTTGAATGTGTTGTTTCATCAATTGATTCATATAAAATTTATCTTTGATTGTTAAAGTTTAAATTTATTTGTTTATTAGCTTATAATCACTTTTATTGTAAGTGATTTTTCATATCAACAAAGCTCAAAGAAAATTCTGAAAAAATGATTGTGCGCCACATGTTCGATAAATTGTCAAGTTATGTTTTTAATATGATTTCATTGGAAATAGGAAACCGTTGTGTTTGATATTAAACTATTAATTGTGATATTATTATGTTGATTGATTTTATCATTATCTTAATTCCATATTGCTTGTGCATATCCGAGTTTCCAATAGCTAGACTCGTTTAGACTACTATATTGATCTAGGCCAAAGACCTTCCGCTCAACATTGTTTTTCAAATAAATTTTTAAATACCTATTTTGAAATGTAATTTTTATTTGGGAATCTATTCACTCTCCCTCTAGATAAGTCGTTGTAGTCTAACAAGTTGGAATTTAAGGTGGTACACATTTTAGAGGATGAAAAATAAAAAATAACTTTGATTAATTCAATAAATAAATGGTTTATTATTTCCTCGATCATTATTTTTTTTTACTCATGAAATATTTAATTTTTTTTAGCATTTTTGGAGAAAGTGGAACAATCTAAATGAAAAAGGATGTCAAAAGATGTCTACCGAAGCAAAATCACAACCCAGTGCCAAAAAGACCAAGGAGGCTGAAACCAAGGCAAATAATCCATTAGATGCCCTATGCGTTTCAAATTTTAGATGAAATCAAATTGTACATTCACCTCCAGGCTAATCAAATCAGAGCATTGATGGAGAACACATGAAATCTTTAAAATTATCATCAAATAATTGGCTAGGTCCCTCAAATAATCGATTATGAGACATGTTTTAAAAAGTTTTTGTTGTGACCTTTTCTGGGCCAAATCTTCAAGGATTTTGTGGAGTTTTTGAACACAAAATCAACAATGTTGTAAATAGGTACTCCTATTTTCTTTTTTTCATCATCATCTCTCTCTCTATATATATATATATATCTCTCCCTCTCTATCTTTCTCCTTCTTTTTCCTTCTTTTGAAAAGCCAAAGTACGACTAA